TGCTGCTGCTGCTGCTGCTGCTGCTGCTGCAGCGGAGGAGCAGCATTCAAAGTGGAGCAGCTGCTGCACTGTACGAACACTGCCCGCGAGTCGAAGTGCAGCAAAGAGCTGCATGCGTGGCAGCGCAGCAGCCGCACGGGAGACTCTTCTGCTGCTTCCTGCATGCAAACACATGCTGCTGCTGCTGCTGCTGCTGCTGTTGCTGCTGCTGCTGGTGGTAGTGGTAGGGGGGCTGTTGCTTGTGTGGTGCTGGGGTGCTGCTGCTGCTGGTGCTGCAGTGGGCTGCTGCTACGGGTGAAGTGCGGCTGCTGCTGCTGCTGCAGGCGCTGAAGCAAAAAGGGTTTAGGGTTTAGGGTTTAGGGTTTAGGGTTTACGGGATAGGCGGGAGGCGCCGGCAAATTCTCTATGCCTGCAACAGAAGAGACAACTCCATTAGGAGACAAAAGAAAGAAGCAGCGGTCCCCCACAAACACAGGATCGCTGCTGCTGCTGCTGCTGCTGCTGCTACTGCTGCTGCTGCTGCTGCTGCTGCTGCTGCTGCTACTGCTGCTGCTGCTGCTGCTGTTGTTGGCGGTGCTGCTGCTGCTGATATTGTTGCTGTCGCTGCTGCTCGCAGCGGTCGGTGCAGCAGCTGCTCCTACTGCCCATCTCCCCGTCACTTCTGCTGCTGTCGCGGCTGCTGCTGCTGCTGTTGCTGCTGCTGCTTGGTCGGCTGCCTGCTGCTGCTGCACAGCAGCGGACGAAGAGAGCTCACGCCGCTGCGTAGCAGCAGCTTCACTGCCACCAGAGCCACCAAGCGGAGCAGCAGCAGCAGCTGCTGCTGCTGCAGCACGGGCAGCAGCATCTGCAGCACGGCCTCCACTGGAAGCAGCAAGGGCTGAAGCAGCTGCTGCAGCATCGGGAGCACTAACGTCTGGTTCTGCTGCAGAAAGTGGCGGCTGAGCAGCTGGAGCAGCAGCAGCAGCAGCAGCAGCAGGCGACTCATCACCTGCTGCTGCAGCGGCCCCACCAGCTGCAGCAGGCACCGTTGCAGCAGCAGCCGTAGGTGCTGCTGCTGCGCTGAGCAACAGACATAGCTCCCTCTGCTGCTGCTGCTGCTGCTGCTGAGGGTCCTCCTGCTGAAGCACAGTAGCAGCAGAACCGCTGCTGCTGCTGCAGCTGCTGCTGCTGCTCATCTGCTCCTACAAAAGACAAGAAAAGTGGCTAAGACGATAACGCGGCAGCAGCAGCAACAGCTGCCGCTGCTGCTGTTAGCGCAGTCGCCGCTCCGGGCTCCGTTGCTACGGGGATGAGGCTGCTGCTGCTGCTGCTGCTGCTGCTCACAGGGTTACGGCCAGCCTCCCGCGTAATCCACGGGGAAGCCATTAAGCCAGCTGCAGCGGTGCTGCTGCGCCTTGTGTTGCTGCTGCTGCTGCAGCAGCTGCAGGAGCTCGCTGCGCTCTGCTGCTGCTGCTCTTGGTGCTGCTGCAGGGAGCAGCTGTTGGCAGCAAGAGCTGCAGCGTTATTCTGCTTGCTGCCACTGCATGCGTCTCCCGTTTTGCAGTTGCTGCTGCGGAGCAGCAGCCAATGAAGCACGTATGTATCTATGTGATGGTCTGGGGCGGACACTGCAGCAGCAGCAACAGCAGCAGCAGCAGCAAGATCGGCAGGAGCAGCCGCTGCGGGACCTACAGAAAACAAAGCAAAGGCATGCAGGACCCAAGAAGCCTGCCTATGTATCCCTGGTTGCCTGGCTGCTGCTGTTGCTGCTGTTGCTGCTGCTGCTGCTGCAGTTGCTGCTGCAGGCGCCGCTGCCGTGCTGCAGCTGCTTCAGACGCCCAGAGAGCTCCCAACAAGAGCAGCTCCTTCAAAAGCCAACATAAACGAAGAAATGACAAAGCACAAGCAGCAAAGGCAGCAGCAGCTGCAGCAGCAACAGCAGCAGCTCGGGCGACCTTGGGTCTGCTCGATGAACATGCAGCGGCCCCACGCAGCAGCAGCAGGAGCAGCACGAGCAGCAGCAGCAAAGACACAGCAAAGAATCGACTTGATTGAATCTAAGGATTGTGTTTTGAGTCTTCTGTAGGCTTCAGCTGCTGCAGCAAGGGCTGAGACGACGGTTCCTGCTGCAGCAGCTAGTTGCAGCACCAGCAGCAGCAGCAGCAGCTACTGCGGCAGCAAAACCAAGGGCTCGGGCATTTTTAGTTATTTGCTGTTATTAAAAAGCTGACAAGCATTAGTTGCAGCCGCAACGGTTTTACCTGCAGCGGCTGCAGCAGCAGCACACGACAGCAGCAGCAGCAGCTGCTACAGACACTAGAGGCAGCTGGCAGCCGCAGCAGTAGCAGCGGCAGCAGCAGCAGCAGAACTCACAGCACTCGCGCAGCAGCAGCAGGTGCTGCCCCACGAATGCCTGGGCGGAGCAACTGGCAGCAGCTGTTGTGACAGCCGCAGCAGCAGCAGCAACAGCAGCAACAGCAGCAGGTGCAGCGGCAGCAGCAGGATAAGGTGCAGCAGCAGCAGCAGCAGAGACAGGTGGAGTGCCAGTTTCGGCAGCAGGTGAGGTGCCGGTCTTGTCCCCTTTCGAAGCATCAGCCGCAAACCTGTTGGGGCTTGCAGCAGCAGCAGCAGCAGCAGCAGCAGCAAGAGCAGCAAGTGGACGTTCGCTGCACTCTTGCTGCCGCCTATGCGGCTGCAGAAGCAGCTTAAAAGCCACAGTCTCCGCGACAGCTGCTACCAGCAGCAGCAGCAGCGACAGCAGCAGCAGCAGCCACATCCACAGCAGCAGCAGCAGCAGCAGCAGCAGCACTATGGGAAGCAAGTGCTGCAAGAACGCCTTTTCGGGTGTACGTGTGCCCCGCGAGAGCCGCAAGGATTTCGCGGACGCAAATAAGCCCTGGCCAGGAGAATATTTGTACGTGCTGCTGCTGCTGCTGCTGCTGCTGCTGTTGCTGCTGCTTCTGTTTACTGTTGCTGCTGCAGCTGCTGCTGCTTCTCTTGCTTTTTCTCAGCCACGGTTCTGCGCTCGGCGCCGAGGCCGGGTGGCGCTGCTGCATGTGCAGTTGCTGCTGCTGCAGCAATTGGTGCTTCTGCATTGTGTGCTGCTGCTGATTTAGAGTCTGCTGCTGCTGCTGCTGCTGTACTCTGTAGCAGATGTGTACGCAGCTGTCTGCAGCAGCAGCAGCTGCGGCTGCTGCTGCTTTGCTGCTGCTGCTGCGGCCAGTGGGCGCTGTCTACAGATGTGGTTTTTGCTGCAGTATGACGTTTTTTGCTGCTGCTGCTGCTGCTTCTGCTGCGTGCAGCACGAGAGCGTCTGCTGCTGACGGGCTGCAGCAGCAGCAAACGGAGCTGCTGCTGCTGCAGCAAGCTTCTTCTTTTCCCCCACAGCCCTCTTCAGTCTCAGCGCGGGTTTCAGATGAAAGCAGATACACAAAAGGAGCAAGCGCTGCTGCTGCTGCTGCTGCTGCTGCTGCTGCTGCTGCTAGCCCCCGCTTCTCCTGCGGCACGTCAAACACCCTCAGGAGCATCCCCTCTATAGCCCGTGTTGCTGACACCCAGCAGCAGCAGCAGCAGCAGCAGCAAGTGCAGCAGTAAGCAGCAAATAAGGCAAAGGGCCCGCACAGCAAAAGCGGGCCATATATGCGCATGTCGTGGTGGATGCAGCAGCAGCAGATGCTGCTACTGCTGCGAAACTGCAGCAGCAGCAGCAGCCGCCGCGGTGCTGCAGCAGCCGCAGTAGGTATTGTTGCTGCTTTCGCAGCAGCAGCGGCAGCAGCAAGTGCTGCTGCTTCTTCCACTGCAGCAGCATTCGCCTTGGAGCCAACAGCAGCAATGGCTTCGCAGCAGCAGCAGCTGCAGCAGCAGCGTGAAGTGCTCGATTTGCTTCCCAGCAGCCTACATGTTTGGACAGTTTTTGCTGCTGCTGCTGCTGCTGCTGCTGCTGTGTCACTCTGTAAATTTCAGTAATCGTTTTGACTGCCTGCCGCATTGGAGAGCGGGGGCAGCAACAGCTGCTGCAGCTGCGGCAGCAACAGCTGCTGCAGCTGCGGCAGCAACAGCAGCGGCAGCAACAGCGGCAGCTGCAGCAGCTGCAAGAGCAGCAGTAGCTGCCGCAGCAACAGCAACAGCAACGGCAGCAACAGCAGCAGCAGCAAAAAGTAGCAGCAGATGCAGACCTCGCCTTTGCGAAGGCACTTATCTTTGGCTATCAGCACCTTTGTGGTTTAGGGTTTAGGGTTTAGGGTTCAGGGTTTAAGTTAAGGTTTAGTGTTTTTAGTTCAGAGGTCTAAACCGCCAAATGAGGGTTTAGGGTTTAGGAGCCCCTGTGTCCAGGCCTAGAGTTTAGGGTTTACAGGTCTTCCAGCCTTCGCTAGGGTTTAGGGTTTAGGGTTTGGAGAGCTGCTGGCTGCTGCTGTGGAGATGGGAGGAAGTGAAAAGCTCTGGATTTGTTTGACGCTTAAACCCTCGTAGACCCTAAACCCTCGCAAACCCTTAACCATAAACCCTCGCAAACCCATAACGCTAAACCCTCGCAAACCCTTAAGCCCAAACCCTCGCAAACCCTTAAGCGCAAACCCTCGCAAACCCTCAACGCCAAACCCTCGCAAACCCTTAACCCTAAACCCTCGCAAACCCCTGGCGAAGAAGCACCAACGCTCTGGGGCTTAGGGCTTTAGCACTAGGGCATAGGGTTTAGGGTTTAGGGTTTAGGGTTTGTATTTTAGAGTCTAGGGTTTAGGGTTTACGCGCTTTTGGTTGGTAAGACGGGCCAGTGTGGGGTGTATAGCTGGTGAGGGTTAAGGGTTTAGGGTTTAGGGTTTAGGGTTCTGATGCGCACTTAAGCATTTCAGGACCCCCAGCCACCTCAATAGATGCACATAAGCCCATAAAACTTATTTTGAGTTGGGGTTTATGGTTTAGGCTTTAGGATCTAGGGTTTAGGGTCTAGGGTTTAGGGTTTAGGGTTTAGGGTTTAAGATGGTTTCGGGTGTGCAGAGAACTCCGCAGCAGCAGCGGAGTAGGAAAGGTGCAAACAAGATGAAAAATGGGAATAGAAATGAAAAAAAAATAAATAAATAATATTAAATAAAAATGAATTAAAAATAAATAAATAAATGGGAAAAAGAGGAAATTTCAACCCGGGGAAGTGGCGGAGGACGACAGGGTCACGCGGAAACCCCAAACCCTAAACCCTAAACCCTAAGCCCTCAGCCCGCGGTTTTGCGCGTCTTGGGGCGTTTCGGGCGTCGAAATCTCGGGATTCTCGCAAACGCTAAACCCTAAACCCTAAACCCTAAACCCTAGCTGGCTGCGCGCCGCAGCAGCGCCGCCTGTCTCAATTTTCGCCGTCTCTGTCTCGGCCTCTCTCGGTGCTGAGGTGTACGTACACCTGGGGGCGGGTCTGAGGGTTTTGCTGCAGCAGTCAGAACAAAAGTTTCGCCTGTCTGCGTGTCCGCCTTTCTCGCGCCGGAAACCACGATTTAGGGTTTAGGGTTTAGGGTTTGAAGATGGCTCGCCTGTGCCGCGGTCTGGTGACTCTGTCTGTGGCTCTCGCTGCGCTGCTGAGCAGCAGCAGCAGCAGCAGCGCGTTCGCTGCTGCGGGCTCGGTGCCGACGACCAGCAGCAGCAGCAGCAGCAGCAGCAGCAGCAGCACCTCCACCACCACTGCAGCACCCGGATTGCTGCCGCCGCTGGACCTTTCTGCTGCTGGAGTTGAGGCCTTTCTGAAGGAGCTGCTGGGGGAGCTGGGATCGGGATCGGGATCGGGATCGGGATCGCTTTTGCCGGGGCTGGAGGAGCCGCTGGCGCAGCTGGTGGCGGTGATCGGGGAGCTGCTGCAGGCCGTGGAGGGTTTGCTGCTGCCGCAGCAGCAGCAGCAGCAGCTGCAGCAGCTCACCGCCTCGCTGCGCTCCGTCGTCTCGCAGCAAAACCTCATCAGCAGCAAACTGCACTCGCTGCAGCAAATTGCTGCTGAGGGGCCCTTAGCAGCAAACGAGCTGCTGTCGCTGCAGGCCATTGCAGACCGGCTGCTGCAGCAGTTCAAGAACTTGGAAGCAGCAGGGCTGCAGCTGCTGCAGCAGCTCAAGGCTTTCTTCCAGAACCTGCTGCCCGACAAGCAGCAGCAGCAGCAGCAGCAGCAGCAGGACCAGCAGCAGCAGCAGCAGCCCGACAAGGGCGAGCTCGAGCTCCAGACCGAGCACATCATGAGGGCTGCGAGGACCCTCTTCCCCGACATCATCAACTAAACCCTAAACCCTAAACCCTAAATTAGGGTTTGCCTCGACACGCGCACAACCACACGGCGAAAACCGCCGCCTCGCCGGCGCCGCACCCACACACCACTCGCTGCTGCTGCTGCTGCACTGCAGCAACAGCTCCGGCAACAGCTGCAGCCGCTCCTGCTGCAGCAGCTGCTGCAGCAGCAGCTGCTGCACCACAAATTGTTGTTTTAAACCGCTTTTAATTTGTTTCAAGGACCTTTTGAGAACCACAAACCCTCGCTTAGTAAACCCCAAAGTCCAAACCCTAGAAAGGCTTCGGATCTCAGTTTTGTAAACCCTAAACCCTAAACTCTAAACCCTAGAAGCCCCGAAGCCAAGGCCCCGTGAAGCAGCTTCGTTGGCCCAGTGTACGTACACCCGAACTCAGCAGCAGCTGCTGCTGTCAGCCAAAGTGCTGCGGATTTCGTTTTTGCTGCTGCTGCTGCTGCTCGTGCTGCTGCTGCTGCAGCTTCTACTGCTGCTGCCGTTGCACATGCTCGTGCTGCTGCTAAGGTTCTCGTTACCTCTGAGGCTAAAGTTACTGCCACTGCTGCTGCTGCATTTGCTGCTTCTGCTGCTCCTGCCTTTGCTCCTGCTGCTGCTGTTGCTGCTGCTGGAGTTTGTCGGATCAACACCCAGCAGCAGCCAAAGCCTTTGCCGCAGCAACTGGAGCAGCACCGAACAGAAGCAGCAGCAGGTTGTGGATATGCTGCTGCGGCGGAGTCCTGAGTTACGTTCTGCTGCTGCTGCAGCAACACATAGCTGCAGCAGCAAGCCTTGCAGCTGAAGCAGCATGCTTTGCTGCCGCAGCAGCATGCTTTGCTGCCGCAGCAGCATGCGTAGTGGCTGCAGCAGCAGGCCTTATTGCTGCGTCGTTAAGCGTTGCTGCAGCAGCAGCACGTGTTGCTGCTGCAGCAGCAAATTGGTAACCTTGAGCTTAAGCTCTGTGTCGCTGCAGCAGCAACCCCGAACCTAAGCTCCGCGCTGCAGCAGCAGCAAACGCAGCTGCACCCACGCAAGACGCAGCAGCAGCAGCAAACACAGTTGCGGCAACGGAAGATGCAGCAGCAGCAGCAAAGGCAGAGCAGCAGCGATAGAAGACACGGCAGCAAAACTTCTGGAAGCAAGAGCTGCAGCGATAGCAGCAGCAGCAGCAAAGACACAGCAGCAGCAGTGGAAGACACGGCAGCAGAACTTCTGGCAGTAAGATCCGCAGCGACAGCAGCAGCAGCAGCAGCGGCAGCAGCAGCGGCTTCGGTGGCGCCAGCAAGCTGCGAGGCAGCAACTCGGGCACGGACAAGAGCAGCAGCAGCAACAGCCGCAACAGCGGCTCGTGCTGCTGCTTCTACACATTTAACCTGACTAGTTGCTGTTATTGCTCCTTAAGGAGCAATTTCACTTATTTATAGCAGCAGCAGCAGCAGCAGGGAAAGCACTGCTACTGTGCCGGGCCCCACTGCTGGACCACGTGCTGCTGCTGCTGCTGCAGCAGCAGCAGCAGCTGCTGCTGCTGCTGCAGTTCATTCCCAGCGCGTGTGCAGCAGATAAGACTTCTGGTAAGCTTCACGACCTTCAAATGTGGCTGTTGCTTTTGCTGCTACTTTTGCTGCTGCTGCCGCTGCTGCCGCTGCAGACTGCTGCCGACGGCGGTGTGTGGGACCGTTGCTGCAGCTGCTGCCGCTGCATGCAGCAGCAGCAGCAGCAACAACAGCGCCAGCAACAATGAAACCTTCCATTTCCCTGGCGCTCCTGTGCTGCTATTTTGAGAAAGTCACGGCAGCAGCAGCAGCAGCAGCAACAGCAGCAGCAGCAAGCCCACGGCAGCGGCAGCAGCAGAGTTACGCCTTGGCACAGCCGATGCAGCAGCTGCAGCAGTAGCACCAACAGCAGCAGCAGCAGCACACAACAGCAGCAGCTAACGCCTCCAATGTCGATAAAGCCTATAGATTTTGCTGCTCTCCTTGCGGAGGCCCGAGCGGCTCGCAAGAAGCAACAGCAGTTGCAAAAAGAACAGCAGCAACAGCAGCAGCAGCAGAACCAAGAGCAGCAGCAGCAGCAACAGCGCCTCGCTGACGAGGTTATTCAATCACTCCCAAACAGCTGCGGCACCAACAGCAGCAGCAGCGACAGCAGCAGCAGCAGCAGCAGCTGGAGCTCCAGCAGCAACAGCGGCAGCAGCAGCAGCAGCAGTAGCAGCAGCAGCAGCAACAGCAACAGCAACAGCAACAGCAGCAGCAACGGCGAGAAGGGCGCTCAGCCCCGTTTAAAGTGGTCTACCTGCAGCACAGCATTCGTTTTCAATTTGCTGCAGACGCAGAAGCCGCTGCAGCAGCAGCAGCTGCTGCAGCTGCTGCTACAGCAGCACCCGTCCCAACAGCCGCAACACCAGCAGCAGCTGCTGCT